ATTATGTGTTTTATTTATTTATTTTTCCTGTTTTCTGTTATTCTATTTTTTTCCAACTTATTTTCTGCACAGCACTTTGGTCCTGTGCTGGGTATTTTAAAGTGCTTCATAAATAAAATTGGATTGGATAACTTTGTTGGGACATCTCACTGACATAATGCTTTCCATAACTGCATACCCTAACCATTACAAATGAACCCCTAACCCTATACCTTAGCCTAAACCTAACCGTAACCTAATTGTAACCCTGACATTAAAACCACATTTTGAGTCTGAAAATGTCTTCATGGGGACGAGCATTTTGTCCCCATAAGTGACTGTTGATCCCCGCAAGTACAGTATGCCAGTTTTCTTTTTTCACTAATAATAATAATAATAATAATAATAATAATAATAATGATAAAATAACTTGATGTAAGGGAAAAAATGAAATGTTCTTGCAAAACTCAAAGGGTATGCAGAAGAGAATTTCTGAATGTGAAGCTAAGTTTAAAATTCAAGCTCACAAAAACTGGGTAATAGAAAACTGGAAAGATGTTGAGGTCTGATGAGTCTCAGTTACTGCAGACAACATTTAGGTTTGACAGTGTTTCTAGTAGATAATGGCAGAAAAGCTGAAGAGGGTGAATTGAGGCTGTGGTTTGGGGAAGGCCTCAGGATAGCACACTGTGTTTGAGCTCAGATCAGCTCAAACTGGTTTAGTGAGCATGATGATGATGAGTTCGCTGCAGTCTAGTGGCCTTTCACAAAATTACCAAATCTCAATCCAACACAGCACCTTTGGGATGTAAATAAATCTGCAGCAATTGTGATGCTATTGTGTCACTATGGACCAAAGTCTCTGAGGACTCATCTATGCCACAAAGAATTAAGGCAGCTCTGAAGGTAAAAAGGGGTCCAGCACAATAAAATCATGCTATACTCAATAAAGTGGCCTGTGAGTGTATATGAATGCAAATAATGAAAAGCATAAATAACCCACTTCAATGATATTCTCTGGACCAGGGGTAGGCAACTCCAGGCCTCGCGTGCCGGTGTCCTGCAGGTTTTAGATGTCCTTGATCCAACACAGCTGATTTAAAGGCTAAATGACCTCCTCAACTTGTCTTAAAGTTCTCCAGAGGCCTGGTAATGAACTAATCATTTGATTCAGGTGTATTGACCCAGGGTGAGATCTAAAACCTGCAGGACACCAGCACTCGAGGCCTGGAGTTGCCTACCCCTGCTCTGGACATTGAAGCTAAATGAAATCACCTGCATCAAAGCAAGTTGAAACATGTGATGCACACAATTATTTAATAAAATCGTATCCCGAAAAAGCACGTCAGCTTAACAGCACAGAACATTTCTAAGCTGTGAGCTATAGTTTCCTCCTCTGAAATGCAACAACTGTTCATTTACTTGTGTCATTGCACTTAGATTATTGTAATGCCCTCTTTACGGGCATAGACAAATCACCTCTGTCACACCTGCAATTCAGAATGCTGCAGCCAGACTCCTGACACATTCTGGGAAGCAAGCTCACATTACCCCTGTTTTATTTCCTTTACATCAGCTCCCACTTGATTTCAGGAGTTTTAAAATCCTCACACTTACATACAGATAAGCAAATAGACAAACTCCAGACTATTTATCTCAACTTTTTCCTCAAACACACTGCTGGTTGCTATCTCACAACCTCGAACTTTATTAGCTGTCCCTCATCCAAGGCTAAAGACTAAGGGGGACAGAGCTTTTCAGTCTGTGGCACCGAGGCTCTGAAACAGTTTACCACTGTAGTTCTGTTTAGCTGACTCTGTGGAGTCTTTCTCTAATCCAACCTTCTGCTGAGATTCTTTTGTTATCTGTTTTTTAACCTTAAATTCTGTTTTTAATATGGTTCTTTGTTTATATTGCATTGCAATTGTTGTTCAGCGCTTTGTGATTCTGATTACAGTGAAATAAACTTTACTTACTTTCAAGTTAGTTAAAAAATAGAAATGTTCCAGTGGAGTGTTCCTGATTTTGGAGTTTGACGAAATGGATAAACACGTGCGTGAAACTGCTTAATGGAATGGTCAGAACAGGAGAAATTAACAGAAACAAGAAACCCCACAAGCACAAATAGATACTAGAATTAGGGAAGTGATGTGTAGAAAATGTAACAGTCGTCAGTGCATGTTTCAGAATGAAACGAAAGTCTTTCTTCTATGTTTCACTTGCATTTATAAAAATTGCCATGTTCACTGTTTTTCAGGGGGGATAACTGCATAAAGCAGACCTGGACCTATCATATAAATCTTGAGAGCAATGATTTGGAACTGGAAGGTATCTGCAGCACCATCACAGACGCTTATAATACACACACAGTAAATATGGGTTTCCACAGGTCAAAGTAAGTTAGATTTTTAAGATGGTAACTTTGTGCTCATAAATAAAAAAGAATAAACAAACTGACAACAAATACAGCAACAAACTACGCAGCAGCTTCCCAGAGTCCTGCTGTTATCTGTTTGGGGAAACCCTTTCTATTACCCTTTCTAAGTATTTCTTAAAAATGTCAGTGCAGGCAAGAAGAAAACACCAGCAGAACTGTTGATGAAGTTAAAGAAAACAAATTTTTTTCTAACTTTTCTAATGTTAATGGTGTTTGGCTCATTGCTACGGGTCATTCGATCCTTATACAACTGTTGCAAGAGCTTGGTCCACATAGCCAGCAATAAGTCAGACTCGTTCCCGGTGGGTGATGGGTCCTGCCAGGGCTGCCCTTTGTCACAAATTCTGTTCGTAACTTTTATGGACAGAATTTCTAGGCGTAGCCAAGTGGCAGAAGGCTTTCACTTCGGTGGTCTCAGGATCTCATCTCTGCTTTTTGTGAATGATGTGGTTCTGTTGGCTTCATCGGGTGATGGCCTCCAGCTCGCTTTGTAATCGGCACCTCCAAATCTGAGGCCATGGTCCTCAGCCGGAAAAGGGTGGAGTGCCCACTTGGGTCAGGGACAAGTTCTTGCCCCAAGTGGAGAAGTTTAAGTGTCTCATGGTCTTGTTCAGGAGTGACAGGAGAAGGGAGCGGGAGATTGACAGACGGATTGGTGCTGCAGCTGCAGTGATCTGGACGCTATATTGGTCTGTTGTGATGAAGAGAGAGCTGAGTGTAAAAGCAAAGCTCTCAATTTACTGGCCGATCTAGGTCCCTACCCTCACCTGTGGTCACGAGCTGTGGGTAGTAACCGAAAGAACGAGATCACGGATACGAGCGGCGGAAATGGGCTTCCTTGGAAGGGTGATTGAGATAGGGTGAGCAGTTCGGCCATCCGGGAGGAGCTCAGAGTAGAGCTGCTGGTCCTTCATTTCGAAAGGAGCCACTTGAGGTGGTTCGGGCATCTGACAAGGATGCCTCTAAGCACCTCCTGAGTGAGGTCTCCAGGGCATGTCCCACCAGGAGGAGGCCCCGGGGCAGACGCCTGGGAACGCCTCGGTGTTCCACTGGACAAGCTGGAAGAGGTGGCTGGGGAGAGGGACGTCTGGGCTTCTCTGCTTAGGCTGCTGCCCCTGCAACCTGGCCCCAGATAAATGGGAGAAGATGGATGGATGGATAAATGTTTTAGATGAATACGCAAACACATTTTCATTATTTGAAATTCTCAATTAAATCTGTGTTGATATAATTGCTTTACTTTAGACAGACAAAAGTACATTTATTACGTTTTGCAAATTAAATTACTGATATTCAAATTTAGCCGTCAATCATTAGTCTTGTTTTGTAGAAAGTTTATAGTAAAAGATAACACAGACGTCAAGTCAACTTGAAAATTCAAAAGTTAGATCAAAACAGATAGCAGCGTGCAGTAATGCTCTGCACACTCCTGACTGTGCTATCACCATAACGATCAATGACCCAGCTACACAGTTCACTCACTGTGTCACAGCTTTGCTTATCTAACATGAACACACACACACACACACACACACACACACACACACACACACACACACACACACACACACACACACACA